GAACTATATTACTCACAAACACCCAAGTACCTGGACACACTTTAGAACTATAATACTCACAGACACTCAAGTACCTGGACACACTTTAGAACTATAATACTCACAGACACCCAAGTACCTGGACACACTTTAGAACTATAATACTCACAGACACTCAAGTACCTGGACACACTTTAGAACTATATTACTCACAGACAATCAAGTACCTGGACACACTTTAGAACTATATTACTCACAAACACCCATGTACCTGGACACACTTTAGAACTATAATACTCACAGACACTCAAGTACCTGGACACACTTTAGAACTATATTACTCACAGACACTCAAGTACCTGGACACACTTTAGAACTATAATACTCACAGACACTCAAGTACCTGGACACACTTTAGAACTATAATACTCACAGACACTCAAGTACCTGGACACACTTTAGAACTATATTACTCACAGACACTCAAGTACCTGGACACACTTTAGAACTATATTACTCACAGACAATCAAGTACCTGGACATACTTTAGAACTATATTACTCACAAACACCCATGTACCTGGACACACTTTAGAACTATATTACTCACAAACACCCAAGTGCCTGGACACACTTTAGAACTATATTACTCACAAACACCCATGTACCTGGACACACTTTAGAACTATAATTCTCACAGACACTCAAGTACCTGGACACACTTTAGAACTATATTACTCACAGACAATCAAGTACCTGGACACACTTTAGAACTATATTACTCATAAACACCCATGTACCTGGACACACTTTAGAACTATAATTCTCACAAACACTCAAGTACCTGGACACACTTTAGAACTATACTACTCACAGACACTCAAGTACCTGGACACACTTCAGAACTATATTACTCACAAACACCCATGTACCTGGACACACTTTAGAACTATAATTCTCACAGACACTCAAGTACCTGGACACACTTTAGAGCTATAATTCTCACAGACACTCAAGTACCTGGACACACTTCAGAACTATATTACTCACAAACACCCATGTACCTGGACACACTTTAGAACTATAATTCTCACAGACACTCAAGTACCTGGACACACTTTAGAACTATACTACTCACAAACACTCAAGTACCTGGACACACTTTAGAACTATAATACTCACAGACACTCAAGTACCTGGACACACTTTAGAACTATAATACTCACAGACAATCAAGTACCTGGACACACTTTAGAACTATATTACTCACAGACAATCAAGTACCTGGACACACTTTAGAACTATATTACTCACAGACACTCAAGTACCTAGACACACTTTAGAACTATAATACTCACAGACACTCAAGTACCTGGACACACTTTAGAACTATATTACTCACAGACACTCAAGTACCTGGACACACTTTAGAACTATATTACTCACAGACAATCAAGTACCTGGACACACTTTAGAACTATATTACTCACAGACACCCATGTACCTGGACACACTTTAGAACTATAATTCTCACAGACACTCAAGTACGTGGACACACTTCAGAACTATAATACTCACAGACAATCAAGTACCTGGACACACTTCAGAACTATACTACTCAAAACACTCAAGTACCTGGACACACTTTAGAACTATAATACTCACAGACAATCAAGTACCTGGACACACTTCAGAACTATACTACTCACAAACACTCAAGTACCTGGACACACTTTAGAACTATAATACTCACAGACAATCAAGTACCTGGACACACTTCAGAACTATATTACTCACAAACACCCATGTACCTGGACACACTTTAGAACTATAATTCTCACAGACACTCAAGTACCTGGACACACTTTAGAACTATAATACTCACAAACACTCAAGTACCTGGACACACTTTAGAACTATAATACTCACAGACACTCAAGTACCTGGACACACTTTAGAACTATATTACTCACAAACACCCATGTACCTGGACACACTTTAGAACTATAATTCTCACAGACACTCAAGTACCTGGACACACTTTAGAACTATAATACTCACAGACACTCGAGTACCTGGACACACTTTAGAACTATATTACTCACAAACACCCAAGTACCTGGACACACTTTAGAACTATAATACTCACAAACACTCAAGTACCTGGACACACTTCAGAACTATATTACTCACAAACACTCAAGTACCTGGACACACTTTAGAACTATAATACTCACAGACACTCAAGTACCTGGACACACTTTAGAACTATATTACTCACAGACACTCAAGTACCTGGACACACTTTAGAACTATATTACTCACAGACAATCAAGTACCTGGACACACTTTAGAACTATATTACTCACAAACACCCATGTACCTGGACACACTTTAGAACTATAATTCTCACAGACACTCAAGTACCTGGACACACTTCAGAACTATACTACTCACAAACACTCAAGTACCTGGACACACTTTAGAACTATAATACTCACAGACAATCAAGTACCTGGACACACTTTAGAACTATAATTCTCACAAACACTCAAGTACCTGGACACACTTCAGAACTATATTACTCACAAACACTCAAGTACCTGGACACACTTTAGAACTATATTACTCACAAACACCCATGTACCTGGACACACTTTAGAACTATAATTCTCACAGACACTCAAGTACCTGGACACACTTTAGAACTATAATACTCACAAACACCCAAGTACCTGGACACACTTTAGAACTATAATACTCACAGACACTCAAGTACCTGGACACACTTTAGAACTATAATACTCACAGACACTCGAGTACCTGGACACACACTTTATAACTATATTACTCACAAACACCCATGTACCTGGACACACTTTAGAACTATATTACTCACAAACACCCATGTACCTGGACACACTTTAGAACTATATTTCTCACAGACACTCAAGTACCTGGACACACTTTAGAACTATAATACTCACAAACACCCATGTACCTGGACACACTTCAGAACTATATTACTCACAAACACTCAAGTACCTGGACACACTTCAGAACTATATTACTCACAGACACTCAAGTACCTGGACACACTTCAGAACTATATTACTCACAAACACTCAAGTACCTGGACACACTTCAGAACTATATTACTCACAAACACCCATGTACCTGGACACACTTTAGAACTATAATTCTCACAGACACTCAAGTACCTGGACACACTTTAGAACTATAATACTCACAAACACCCATGTACCTGGACACACTTCAGAACTATATTACTCACAAACACTCAATTACCTGGACACACTTCAGAACTATATTACTCACAGACACTCAAGTACCTGGACACACTTCAGAACTATATTACTCACAAACACTCAAGTACCTGGACACACTTCAGAACTATATTACTCACAGACACTCAAGTACCTGGATACACTTCAGAACTATATTACTCACAAACACTCAAGTACCTGGACACACTTCAGAACTATAATACTCACAGACACTCAAGTACCTGGACACACCTCAGAACTATATTACTCACAGACACTCAAGTACCTGGAGACACTACATAAACACTCAAACATCCGAATATGATAGTATTATTGTAGTGCCTTAGTACGAACCGCACACTCTTTCCTATCATAAATACTTCACATTATAATAACAATCTCTCCAAGCATTATAGTTGTCACAGAACTGTTTCCACAAGCATTATAGTCGTCACTGAACAATCTCTCCAAGCATTATAGTCGTCACAGAATAATCTCTCCAAGCATTATAGACGTCACGGAACAATCTCCCCAAGCATTATAATCGTCACAGAACTGTTTCCACAAGCATTATAGTCGTCACTGAACAATCTCTCCAAGCATTATAGTCGTCACAGAATAATCTCTCCAAGCATTATAGACGTCACGGAACAATCTCCCCAAGCATTATAATCGTCACAGAACTGTTTCCACAAGCGTTATAGTCGTCACAGAACTGTTTCCACAAGCATTATAGTCGTCACAGAACAGTTTCCACAAGCATTATAGTCGTCACAGAACAGTTTCCACAAGCATTATAGTCGTCACAGAACAGTTTTCACAGGTATTATAGTCGTCACATAGCAGTTTCCATAAGCATTATAGTAGTCACAAAACTGTTTCCACAAGCATTATAGTCGTCACAGAACAGTTTCCACAAGTATTATAGTCGCCACAGAACAGTTTCCCCAAGTATTACAGTATAGTCGTCACGAAATAATCTCTCCAAGTTTAATAGTCGTCACAAAATAATCTCTCCAATTATTATAGTCGTCACAAAATAATCTCCATGTATTATAGTCGTCACAAAATAATCTCTCCAAGTATTATAGCCATCACAAAATAATCTCTCCAATTATTATAGTCGTCACAACATAATCTCTCCAAATACGATCGTCGTCACATAATAATCTATCCATGTATTTTAGTCGTCACAAAATAATCTCTCCGTGTATTATAGTCGTCACAAAATAATCTCTCCGTGTATTACAGTCGTCACAAAATAATCTCTCCAATTATTATAGTAGTCACAAAATAATCTGTCCAAGTATTATAGTCGTCACAAAATAATCTGTCCAAGTATTATAGTCGTCACAAAATAATCTGTCCAAGTATTATAGTCGTCACAAAATAATCTCTCCAAGTATTATAGTCGTCTCTTATTTTACATATTTCATGAACAGGAATTTATTGGCCTGCCATAGTTATGTAGGTGACTGTTTTCTTTTATAGGATATTACCATATGCCGTCAAACGCTGTTAACTGAAATAGATTTTTCTTACTGTGCAAACCTAAACATTACACTTGTTACATTACATGAGGGACCAAACAAACTGACCGACACTTTTATGGTAGCTGCATAAGCAGTTTCAACACCTTGTGCAAGTAATATTTATTACTCTTACTTTGTTTAAGTTATATGTTAGTAAGAATAAGAGAGACGCTTCTTAGTATAATTAGAGAGTGCCTCAACAGATTGAGCTACAGTGGATGGTGATGAGCTGCGACCCAGCCAGCCCAGAGAGAGAGACCTGCTTAGAACTTCCAGTAAGTACACCACCTTCATTTACTGCATTTTAAGAAACTATACCAGTCTTCTAGATTATATCACTGTCTTATAATGATACTGTATGAGTTTACTAGGTAATATCACTGCATGATAATTTGTATGGTTACTAGGTTATATCGCTGCCTTATATGATACTATATAACTTTTCTAGTTTATATCACTATCTTATAATGATACTATATAAGTTTACTAGGTTATATCACTGCCTTATATGATACTATATAAATTTACAAGGAGGGGTATGTAGGGTAGGTGTCTTTCTGAGGGGAGGGGAATACTGGGGATGAGGACGGAAAATGTACAGTATATCAGTTGGGAGAGATTACATCGCAGAATATCGCTTTGATAATACCGACGGGGTTTCCTAAAGTGAGTGTAATCATTTGACACTAGCCAATTAAAAATACTAAATATACAGTAGGTTGATAGGGGGGATGAATTTGTGCAAAAGCGGACATTTGTGAGCAAATGAATTATGGACATGTTTGAATCTATATATAGTAGAAGCAGCGAAGTTTTGTTTAAACCCTTGACTACGAGATGGAACTTCCCCAGCTGAATAAAATCGTCTGGCGGTAGCCAGAATAAAATAGATAAGAAGACGTCGTACTGAAGGGATTAATTATCAATCAAAACAATTAGGAAGTTGGCACCACATATTTATTGAAATACAAACTTGATGTGAGCAAAAGTAGTTCAGTTGACCGCTGTCCGGTATAGAATCAGCAAACCACATAGTACAATTGTGCCAAACAGTTACGTTAAATGGGTAACACATAGAACGGTTTGTTTCTTTAACCTGTAAAAACAAAATAACATAGTAAATGACCCTCTGCTCTAGGCCTTATCTGTAGAGGTAGGTATTTTTCTTACTATCCTATTCTTTTGCTGTCAAGAATTACACTTCCTCCGTTGATGGCACACCGGCGTTCATCTGGTCTTCCTCTTGATCTCACTATTAACCCACACTCTCATCTCTTGCTTTGCCCATCTTTACTCTCCAACTCGCAGATAAGAGCAGCACACCACTACCACCTCCATATCAGTTCTTCAGTCTCTACCTTAGTCCCAGTGTTCCTCTCAGTTTAGTCTCCTACAGATATAGTAGATTATAATAAAAATATGGCAAGTTGGATAACATATTCTCAGAACAGCTTAATTGCTATGATGTACTGATGTTTAAGACATTAATGCAACAGTGCAGTCTCTAGAATAGCCTCTGAGGCGATAATGCATCCTCATACTTTACAAACAGCAACCTCATAGATAATGACTGGTATGTATGTTTTTCCACTGGCTTGGTTTGATCTGACAAACTCAACATACTACCTTGTGGTTAACAAAGGCAGGCTACATTGTCGTTATGACGGGCAGGCTGCCGTGTCGTTATCACAGGCAAACTACATTGTTGTTATCACAGGGAGGCTACCTTGTCGTTATAAGGGTGGGGGTTTTCTTCTTTTTATCCCTTATACTGTATTCTTATTTCATACTTCTTTCTTTGTCTTATTTCCTTCATTTGTTCTGTCTAATTATTTCATTTCATAGTTACTTCATAACCTCTGACCTTTGGTAGGGCACATGGGGTCTGTAATTCTGGTATCAAGTCATTGGACAAGAATAAAGGTGAATACTGAGGGAAAATGATACCCCTAATATTCTCTAAGAAATGGTTTATTAATATGACATTAAATTTGGTAAAAGATGTCATTAACATACAACTACAAGGATCAACTCCTTGGCCTTACTCATCTGCAATTCCAATTGGATACTCTTGCTTCTTACAACATTACTGGTGGCACATTTCATAGACTACACCACATGACAAACTTACATATGGTACCTTCACTAAAACTGTTGGTAGTACATATGGAGGATGCTCTCACAACACATAACACGTTATTATTGATACTAACAATTTTTATGGGTTCACTACCCAACATGGGATAATTATATTTCGGTTAATTATCTCCAATCTTATATAACAAATACTGTGGACCATATAACTTTAAGGAGTGTCCCAGGGTATGCCACTGGTGTCTCAACAAATGAAGATCGTGGTTATGGTCGGTTGCAGTCAGACACACGGCGAGAGTCTGGGGTCTAGTTCCCAGGACGCGGACTTGAGCAGTTTAATCCTGCCGAATTAACGACATTGTCCAATACAGCTAACTGTTAGGTAGCCACCGATCCCCGGCAGCCGGTGGGGTGTTCAACTAACACACACACTGGACCTGAGATAATTTGGAGATCGTCAAGGAAGGGTGATAATGACTCAATCACAAACAATCTTTCATCTAGCAACGACAGACGACATTTACATTATAGTAATTCTTACACTGGGTAAATGACAATTTCACTGTTGCTCATCTGACTTTCTGCCTCATTTACACACAATTGCAGGGTCTCAACTGTCTCTCTTACTATTGACAACACCACAAATATAACGGTACTAATTCTTGATCTGTTTTATTCTTGATCTGTTTAATTCTCCTATGTCAGTTGATATTTATATTGAAGCGGGGCCTTCTCGGATGGGTCCCAATGGTCGGGAAGGTTGTGGACCCCAGGGTCGACCTGATCATCATCAAGCTACTTGGGCCTCAACTGACGCCACCGCGATTGCTGGAGGATCGGCTATTTTCACACTTCATTTTTCCAACATTCGCGGCCTGAGATCCAATTTTTCTTCTGTGGAGCACCATCTATTAACCTCTCCCCCCGACCTCTTACTACTTTCCGAACTTCAACTGCCCAAAGCAGCTTCACCCAAACCTTTTCAACTCTCCAACTACAACCTTTATACCTCCTTCCGTTCTAAGGGAGGTGTCTGCGCCTACTGCAACACAGGTACACCTATAGCTCAACTCACGGATCTTGAATCTCCCCTTTATGATGTCATCTGGCTCAAAATATCTCTACCTACTGTGACTATTTTTCTTTGTTTCCTATACTGTTCCCCCAACTCTACCAACTATTTCGAACTCTTTGACTATCTCACTTCTTGCCATGAGTCATTGCTATCCACACACCCCAACACCGAAACCTCTACCAAGGGGATTTCAATGTACATCACAGAGAGTGGCTTGGCTCTGCAAGGGATGACCCAGGTGGAGCTGAGGCACTCTCTTTTTCCATACTTAATGATTTGGAACAAATAATCAAACACCCTACACGCGTTCCTGATCGACACCATCACCTTGCTAACATTCTTGATCTTTGTTTTACCTCTAACCCCTCACACTATTCATACATAATTTTTGCCCCCATACGATCTTCTGATCACAACCTTATTTCTATTAAATCAAACTGGGCATGACCACCTCCCCCACCCCCCTCTAAACGTCAACTATGGCACTATCGGAGGGCAAGCTAGCAATCCTTGCGAGAATTCTTCACCGACTTTCCTTGGGATGAATGTTGCTCTTCCACTCGGGATGCCTCGGTATGTGCTGACAGCATTGCTGGGATTATACAGGGCGGTATGAGTGCATTTATCCCAACTTCTACCAAAACTTTCACATAACAATCATGGTTTGACCGCTCCTGCTCTCTTGCTTGCAGGGTGAGAGATAGGGCATATCGAGCTATGAAACTATCTCCTTCTCCTATTACCCACACCTCTTTCATTACATCTAGGAATCGTTGTAAGGCTATTCTTCGTAGGGCCAAGCGGAATTTTATTAAAAGAAAGACCGCTGTCCTGATTAATTCTTCCTCTAGTAAATCCTTTTGGTCCTTAACTAAAAACATCTTCTGCACTTCTTCTTTTCCTCCCCTCTACCGACCCGATAACTCTATAGCCAACTCTCCCCCTGACAAAGCCAACCTCTTTGGCACCTTATTCTCCTCTAATTCCTCCTTAGACGATTCCCACTCTATCCCTCCTACCCCTGCACCTCCTACTGAACCTATGCACTTTCCTATAATCCCCACTTGCAGGATTGCCGGTGAGTTATCCAGGTTGGATGAGAGTAAGGCGCATGGACCGGACGGAATACCCCCTTGTGTTTTGAGGGAGTGTGCTGAAGCCCTGGCCCCTGTGCTTGCTCGCCTCTTTCGCCTCTACCTCAAAACCCAAACTTTTCCTTCTTCTTGGAAGCATGCCTTGGTTCAGCCCATCCCAAAGAAGGGTGACCATTCTAATCCCTCTAACTATCTTAAACTCCCATTTTCTCCGTCGCCTTGAACGCCTTTCTCTTTTGTCGGATCACCAGTGTGGCTTTCGCCAGGCGAGATCTACTGGTGATCTGCCCTCCTACTGCACCCATCTTTGGTCATCCTCTCTCAGGGATTATGGGGAAACTTTCGTCGTGGCCCTCGACATCTCCAAAGCATTTGACAGGGTATGGCACAAGTCTTTGCTATCTAAACTTCCCTCTTTTGGTTTGTCTCCCCCACTTTGTTTTCTCATCTCTAGCTTCCTTGAGAACCGATCCATGGCAGTTGTTGTCGAGGGATCGATCTCTCGCTCTTTCTCTACCAGTAGTGGTGTCCCACAGGGTTCTGTTCTTTCACCTACTCTCTTCCTTCTTCTTATCAATGATTTACTTCACACTACAACTAATTCTATCCATTCTTACGCTGATGATTCTACGCTTCACTCTTCTTCACATTTTCCCCTTCCTCCTAACTCTCAAACTAGATCTGTTTCTAGAACTGATATCATTACTTCTATCAATGCAGATCTGTGCAGCATCTCTGAATGGGGAGGTACAAACTTGATTAAGTTCAATAGTAATAAAACTCAATATCTACCAATTACACTTTGTAAATTAGACGATCTCCCACCAATTACATTTCAGGACGCTATCATCCTGCCAAATTTTGAAATAAATATATTAGGCCTCACCATTTCCTCCAATATGTCCTGGAAATCACACATCCTTAGTATAACTAAAGCTGCCTCCCGAAAGTTGGGAATGCTGTACAGTACAGATGCCGTAGCTACTTCACTCCCGAGCAGTTGCTTCATTCGTCCTAACTTGGAGTACTGCTCTCACTCTGGGGTGGCTCTTCTTCTGTCCAACTATTAGATAGGGTGGAATCAAAGGCATTTCGTCTTATTAACTCTCCTCCTCTTCCCTTTCTCTTCACTGCAATGTTGCTTCACTCTCTCTTTTACAGGTACTTTAACGGGCAATGTTCGGTGGATTTGGCATCCTGTGTACCACCGGTAAGGCCGTGGGCTCGTAACACACGTCTTGCCCGCGGTGCTCACTGTTTCTCTGTGGATGTCGGTCGCACGAGAATAACCGGTTATAGTACCTCCTTCTTTCCTCACACAGCCAAACTGTGGAATGCTCTGCCTTCTTCTGTGTTTCCACACTTTTACAATCTGTCTCACTTTAAAAAGCTGGTTTTCCGGCATCTTCGTGGTGTAGATTAACACAGTACAACCTTTTTGGTCTCTATTTTCAATTTCTTTCCTTTTCTTTTTTTTTCGCCCCTCAGACCCCGTTGTGGGTCGTTTGACCTGTGCCCAGGTGGGCTAATTCCCATAAAAAAAAATTACAGCGTACCACATATAATGAGGGAATTATTGTTAGAAACCAGTTGGTGGAGTTTACGTCATCACTGATTGTAAATTTAACAATAATATTATTTATTTAGGGTATCGCTTGAGAATATTTGTCTTCGTTTACATGTGTGTGTGACTGTATGCGTATGTGTGATTTTTTATGTATGTGTATATGTATGTGTATTTGTATGTGTCTTTTTAAGAGATAGTACCATAGTGGCCAGGTGATGAGCAATGGTTGGTGAGGCTGCGTGTAAAGCTTCACAGTGTCTGGTGATGTTATGTAAGTATGTAATAGCAAGTGGCTGGTAATGCTGAATGTGCAGCATAATAATTGATAAGCCAGAATTAGAAGTTCGCCTGAAATTTAATAGTCTCTTGTGGTTTTTTTTTATGATCTATTAGTAAATGGCATATATTTTCCAGACGTTGCATTCATGTATACCTACACTGATAATGCTCTTGTTAACAATACCATATAAGTATCGGTTGTACTGGTAATGCTTTTGTTAATGCGTGTATTATAGGAGCGAGAGCTGATAACGCAGGAGAGACCTGAGCAGTGTGAGGTCATTTGCCCGATTGGTCCTCGCGGCTTCAACGGCACAGACGTAAGTCTTTTCTTGTGTGCCATTGTCTACACTCCTAAACTTTCGTAAAAAGTTAACTATGCTCCTTCAGGAAAGTGATTTTGAAAAAAAAAAAAAAAAATATATATATATATATATATATATATATATATATATATATATATATATATATATATATATATATATATATATATATATATATATATATATATATATATATATATATATATATATATATATATATATATATATTTCATGTAGATCCACAATGAAAACGTGGATAAGATAAATTTTGATAAAATCACACAGGGAAAAGGGAAACAATGGAGCACCTTAGCTTTCATTTTTATTCAAGACATCTTCAGAGGCAACTGAATTACATGGACAGAGAGAGGCTTAAATATACAGGGTGACCTTATTAAACATGAAGTCAGGTCATAACCATGACATCCACTAATCCGCACACCAACACCAACACACACACGTATAGAGGAGCTTAAGCTCCTCTACGTGTGTGCGGATAAGTGTGCTGATAAGTGTGCGATGTCTATTAAGTGAAAAATATGTTTTTGTGAAGTTTTATGTACCATTAATATTTAATTTTAAATGCGTAATTATGACTTTTGACACATTTACTAATGGTAGGGTTTGGATGGCCTACCTGGCCAACGCGGCCCTCGTGGCCCTGCCGGGAGACAAGGTCCTCCTGGTCCACCTGGAGAGAATGGCGAGCCTGGCAGCATCGGCCTCCCTGTAGGTTGGGGTGAAGTTGGCCAGCCTGGTCAATATGGATCCCTCCCAATTTCCTTTCTGGTGCCACGCCCTTCCAATAACACCCTCCACTAAATTTATATTCTTAACATTTATTTACAATGCTTCTTTGATTAACTGGGCCAGTATTAGATATCTGAAATCGCTCAGTAGGACACTACTAGTACTTGGTGTCTACTGAGCTATAGATCAGATGCAGTTAACTTACAGAAGCCATTGAAGCACCAAACAGCAGTGCCGCTGGTTCATTGTGCCCTCTATACCTATCCTCTATGTACTGTATCTTGCTTGCGGCCTGTTACTTAATGGTGACACCATCACTGACTGGTTGTGTATGTCACTGTCTTATTACCAGGGTCGTAGGGGGCGACGTGGTGAACGTGGCCTGCCTGGTGACATTGGCGAGCCTGGTCTGCGTGGTTTTCCTGGCGCCAAGGGTGAGAGTGGAGTGCAAGGACCCCCAGTACGTAGTGCACTGACTCATACCAAGTGCTCAAAGCTTGTTACGGTTATCCTTTTATTGCATGATACTTATACTAATTCTGCTATGAACTGATTATCGTATTTTATTTGTTCTGTTAAATACACATCAGTTTATGATTACAAAATGACTTAATAAATACAAACATCTAGTATAAATTGAAAAGTTGTACTTGGAATACATTATATAGGCAAATGTAAACGTAATTATTTGTGTGTGAAATTAATAATAAAAATTTTCTCTAGGGTTCTGTTGGTCTGCCAGGAGCACAAGGTCGACAGGGAGGGACTGGCAGCCGGGGTTTCCCTGGACCCGCAGGACCTCAAGGTCCCATTGGTCTTCAAGGGCTTTCGGTGAGCGGTGTTTTTTGTTTTCACTATTTATAAGCAACCGATGTATCTTGGATAGTATGCAAGTCAATTTTATATAAATATCGAGTAATGAGTAGCTGTTTCGCCTGCAAGTTTATGAACAACAAACTGGACACCATTACAAACACAATGGATTTTCTGAATATGAAGAAAACATTCAAACACGTATGGCAAAGACAGATTAAGAAAAAACTGTGTCTTATTACAGTTCTTCTCGAGTATATTTACGACAGAGACATATGTGTAAATGCCATCTTTGATGAAGCAGTGGAAGGCACGTGAATATTAAGATCATTTACTAAAAATGGTGCTATGATCTTTAACATGTCGCTCAGAACAGAACACATAAACTGCAACAAGAATTAAAAACTGTTTAATAGCTGCATTATCTAAGAAGAGGAATAGAAAAGTGGCCTGGAGTTACACACTGAGTCTCACATATATCACTTGCAAGGGTACGGAATCCATTACCAGCGATCGTATCGTTTCTATTTAAATAATGAAAGTGATTATCCAGATCTTTATCATTATGGGTCATAGTAGTGAGAGTTAAGTACACTGCCACAGCACCATTGACATAAATTAATGCGTAATGTGGTGAACCATCAATTTCCAATACGACTCTACAAACTGGATTGGAACTACAGAAACTGCTGGATACATTGTCGGAAATAATGGACTCAATTAAAACTTTCAGCATGGTTCCGCATCGATTGAACTTATCACCTAAGAAATTACGAAAGTAAAATACTGGTGGATCTCATCTTTCTATCGTGACAGAGAACGTAGAGGTAATGCAAATTATTCTGACCTGACTGGGCTACAGTGTTAAGAGGTATCCCGCAAGGAAGTATGTTTTGTCCGACTTTTTTTCTTCATATACATCATTGATTCACCTGGTTGTGTCTTCTGACGTGCACAGCATTTTTCCCTCATGAAACACAGAGCTCTGGCTTTCTCAGTGCGACCAACACCACACTGAGCTTCAGATGCGTTTTGATAACTCCATAAATGTAAATTGATGACTATTATTAAGTTAAGAGAAGAAACTGTACAGACACTGAACAAAAACAAATTCATTAAAAAAGAATGCACAAAATTCAGAATGGGTGATAGCACACAGTCGTTTGATGATCATGTCACTGATAAACTCAGCAAGGTAATACAAGGTAATGAATCTGATGCGGGAATTCTCGCCGACTTAACCACAGGAAACTAAGATGGTTGTAAAGGACTCTGTCAACACCTCAACCAATATTATGTTCACACCAGTGTGTGATGGGACAGTATATATATATAGAGAGAGAGAAACACTAGTGTGTTGAGATACAGTATATATGTAGAGAAACACTAGTATGTTGAGGTACAGTATATATGTGGAGAAACACTAGTGTGTTGAGGTACAGTATATATGTAGAAGAACACTTGTGTCTTGAGGTACAGTATGTATGTAGAGAAACACTAGTGTGTTGAGGTACAGTATATATGTAGAGAAAGACGAGAGTGTTGAGGTACAGTATATATGTAGAGAAACACTAGTATATTGAGGTACAGTATATATGTTGAGAAACACAAGTGTGTTGAGGTACAGTATATATGTAGAAAAACATTAGTGTGTTGAGGTACAATACATATGTAGAGAAACACTAGTGTGTTCAGGTACAGTATATATGCAGAGAAACACTAGTGTGTTCAGGTACAGTATATATGTAGAGAAACACTAGTATATTGAGGTACAGAATATATGTAGAGAAACACTAGTGTGTTGAGGTACAGTATATATGTAGAGAAACACTAGTGTGTTGAGGTACAGAATATATGTAGAGAAACACTACTGTATTGAGATACAGAATATATATGTAGAGAAACACTAGTGTGTTGAGGTACAGGATATATGTAGACTAACAATTGTGTGTTGCGGTACAGTATATATGTAGAGAAACACTAGTGTCTTGAAGTACAGTATATATGTAGAGAAACACTAGTATATTGAGGTACAGTATATATGTAGAGAAACACTAGTGTCTTGAGGTACAGTATATATGTGGAGAAACACTAATGTGTTGAGGTACAGTATATATGTGGAGAAACACTAGTGTGTTGAGGTACAGTACATATGTAGAGAAACACTAGTGTGTTGAGACACAGAATATATATGTAGAGATACACTAGTGTGTTGAGGTACAGGATATATGTAGACTAACAATTGTGTGTTGCGGTACAGTATATATGTAGAGAAACACTAGTGTGTTGAGGTACAGTATATATGTAGAGAAACACTAGTGTGTTGAGGTACAGTATATATGTAGAGAAACACTAGTGTGTTGAGATACAGTATATATGTAAAGAAACACTAGTGTGTTGAGGTACAGTATATATGTGGAGAAACACTAGTGTATTGAGGTACACTATATATGTAGAGAAATACTAGTGCATTAAGGTACAGCATATACGTAAAGAAACACTTGTGTGTTGAGGTACAGTATATAAGTAAAGAAACACTATTATGTTGAGATACAGTATATATGTAAAGAAACACTAGTGTATTGAGGTACAGTATATATATATAGAGAGAAACACTAGTGTGTTGAGGTACAGTATATATGTAGAGAAACACTTGTGTGTTGAGGTACAGTATTTATGTGAAGAAACACTAGCATGATCAGGTACAGTATATACGTTGAGAAACACTAGTGTGTTGAGATACAGTATATATGTAGAGTAACACAAGTATGTTGAGGTACAGTATTTATGTAGAGAAACACTAGTGTGTTGAGGTACAGTATAAACAGTATGTAGAGAAACACTAGTGTGTTGAGGTACAGTATATATGTAAAGAAACACGAGTGTGTAGAGGTACAGTATATATATAGAGAAACACTAGTAACATGAGAACATAAGAATGGAGGAAACTGCAGCCGGGCCTGGCCCATACTGGGCAGTCCGTTTACACCCAACCCCTATTGCTCATGAGGCATCAACCTATGTTTGACAATTCCAGAGTATTCCGAGTTAATGATGATATTTGGTAGCTTGTTCCATTCATCCACTACTCTGTTTCCAAACCAGTGTTTACCTATTTCACTAAATCTAAATTTGTCTAATTTAAAACCATTGTTACGAGTTCGCTCCTGGTTGGATAGTTTGAGTACCTTTGTAATGTCCCCTTTGTTTAGCCCTGCCTTCCCACTTATACACTCTATCGGCTCATAGCCCCTCGCTCTACGTCTCTCAAGGGAGTGCAAATTAAGATGCTTTAACCTGTCTCTATACTCAAGGTTCCTAATGCCCGGAATTAGTCTTTGTCATTCTCCTCTAGATTCTTTCCAAAGGATTCTATATCCATTCTGTAATCTACGGTGACCAGAACTGAACTCGTAATCCAGGTGTGGTCTACAGAGTAAGATACAGTTTTAGGATGACCTCGCTAGTCTTATAACTAACTCCCCTTTTGTATGAACCCAAGTCTTTATTAGCCTTATTCACGAGCAAAAACACATTGTTTACTTTGGCTTAAGGTTCCTACTTATCATTACTTTCTAAAATCTCTCTCTGGTCAGTTTCTCTGGCGCATCGTTGTTCATCTGGTATCTGGTTTCTCCCTGTTTACATCTCTATGCTGTGTAGTTTACATTTGTCGACGTTGAATTTCATCTGCCATTTTTCAGACCTTTCGAAAAATTTGTTTAGATCTTCCTGTAGTTTTTGCGAGTCACCGTCAGATTTGATAACACGTCCTATTTTAGTGTCATCCCAGCAAATTTACTTATGTTGCTGTCAATGCCGATATCTATGTCGTTTATGTATATAATAAATAATAATGGTCCAAGTACTGAGCCTTGAGAACTCCACTTGTGACGTTGCTCAATGGGACTTAGTGCCGTTAATGCTCACTCCTGTTTCTGTCCTTAACCGCCTAATCCATTTAAGGATAATGCTCCTTTGATGCCATGAGCTTCTACCTTTCTAATTAGTCTTTCGTGGGGACTCTGTCGAAAACTGCTAAAAGCAAAGATATACCACATCATAATTGTGCCCCTCGTCCACCGATTCGAAGCGATGAAAAGAATGTTTATAGATTAAATTTAGGCAAGAACGTCCACTTGTGAAGCCATGCTGAATCATTGATCAATCGGTGCTTCTCAGGTGATTTCAAATAGAGTTTGAAATGATTGCTTCCCAGTAATTTGCCTACTATTGATGTTAGACTGATTGGGCAGTAGTTGAGATAGTGATCTATCCCCCTTCTTGAAATCGGTATTACATTCGCTATCCTCTAGGATTCTAGTACTACACCTGTTTTTAATGACATGTTAAACAACTTTCTAAGGGCATACTAAGCTCTTCCATACATTCCTTTAATACTCTGGCAAATATCTCATCGGGACCAGGTGAATTATTAGGCTTTAGTTTGTCTATTTGCTTTAACATCGTTATAGTCACTACTATCTCCCACTTAATTTGTTTTCTTCACTATCTCTGAATAAGTCGGTGCCTCGGGTATCATGTTTAAATTTCGGTGGTGAAAACTGTTGAAAATATTTATTCAAATTATTGCTCATTTCTCCGTCGTTATCAGTGAGCTCGCCGAAGTCTGACCGTATTGGTCAATCTTTTCTCGTGTTTTAGTTTGATACATTTGGTACATCCTTTGGGGTTTGTCTTCCTCCTTGCTAACCTTATTATTCCTCTTTGCTTTCCTTATCTCGCTTTTTTAACCATACTCGTAATACCCTATAGTCCGGAGGTGAATTTCGCCACGATTTATCCTTCTACCTATAGCCTTCCTTTGGCCAATGATCTTTAAATAATTATTTATCATTTAGGGTCATTGTTGTCTGATCCTGAGTTTTTCTGGTATTTCTGCCTTTGTGCTTTAAGTAACTCACTATTTAGGGTGTCGTGGAACTTCGGCAATCTCCAGATCTGATTATCAGGTCGGTGTCATCTGTCAGGTTTTGGCCAAGCGCGACACCCCCTCT